TTTTCAATTATCACATCTTTGTCTCAGTGTTTTCTCTCTGAATTTTGTAGGCAGGATTCAGAAACTGAGATCCCAGCATAGCATGGGCTAAGGGGAAAAAGAACAGCTGAGCACACCAATAAATTAAAAATAGACATGGTAGCAATGCTGAAAAGGACAGGTTCTGCAATCATTCTGTCTGGCTCAGCATTCCCAGATCAGAAAACAGGGAGCAGGAGGGAGAAACTCACTCCTCTTATATGATTTCATTCATATCCTGCTGGGGACAGAGCCCATTTCCTTAATAATGCAGTTCTGGCTAAAGAGGAGCCAGAACAGTAAATATTGATGTGAACAGAGATCATAAAGCCCTGCTCATTTGTATTTTCTTGAAGTGTTATTCTCGAAGTAGCAGCAATAGTAAGGGGGTCTCTCGTCTCTTTTAAATACCTTCAGGGAGATGTGAAGGTTTCCTGATTTGTTGTTTTAATTGGGTAAAAGAAAAATTGGAAGATGGAATTATTAGTCTGGAACTCAGCATGCTTAAAACAGAGCATTTATGGGCTGGAATGTTCTTGAGAGAGTAGCTCTGGATACCTAGAAGTTTTTCATGTCATTCATCTGGAAGTTGCCTTTCCTCCTTTAATCTTATGCCCTTTGAGGAGATTTTCACAGAACTGCATGAGCAATTCCAACAGGAGAGACAAGGTAATTTCTTTCTGCTTCTTTATGTAATTGGCAGAACATTTAACCATTTAATTGCTTTTGATATCCTCAGGAATTAGGCACCTGGGTATTTTGGGGATTTGAGACAAACCTCTGTGAAGAGATCTCCTTTTTTGCACTTAAAAATTTCTGGTTGGTCTCTCTACACCCGAGTGCCATAATCTGCCTTGAATTCATGCTGTATTCCTTTGCCAAGCTTGCCAGGACAAAATTTACCCCTCACTCTTAGAGCTGTAGGCTGTACATTCTGATCTTCCTCTGTTCCCTTCCAGGTTGTGGGGTGAGAGCTGCTCTATGTCCTGGCTGTTCAGGGAGGATGTGAAATGGGGATATATGGGGATGTTCATCAGAGGAAGATACTTGCTCGGATATAAGTTAGGTCAAACAAAAGGCTAAAAAATTCAATCCCCAAAGCAAAACGCAGCTGGATGCAATTACTGGTGTGAGTTCTGTCCATTCTCTGGCGACCTTGGGTTCTTGCACCACTAGTAGTCACTAATGGAGCTTTTTGGGATCAGAAAAAGAAAACAGTGACATCAGCCCTACCTTGGCTGGCTTTAAAGCATATGCTTTCTTGCACCATTTCTACAGAATGGATTTTGAAAGATGGTTTGGCTTTGACAGCCCTTTTTGAAAGGCTCAGCTGACCTTTCCTAGGAGAAAAGACACAAGTGAGCTGCCTGCATCATTTCTCCCTCACTTCTTGACAGCCCCATATACATAATAACACTTACAACTGGCAGCTGACATTTACATTGACTGAATAAAATGACCTCAAAAGAGAGAGGCTTTTTGACATAAAAAGTTTATAAAATGATAGTGAACTTGTGTGTTCTGCAAAATAAAATATTTAAAAAAAAAAGTGGGACCCAGTGAAAGGGGAATTTGAGAGTTTTACTATGTACCTGTGCTGCATCACACTCCAAATTGCTCTTTTCTACCTTGAATGTCTGGATCAGTTTCCTCACTGGCATTTTTATTACAGCCAGCAATCAGGAACACAGGAGCACTGAACTTGCTCCATCTCCTGGCTGCTGGGTTTTACTATCTGCCTGGGAAATCCAGCTTCAGGCCTGGGTTTTCATTTACTTCCCACCCTGTGAAAGTCTTCTTTAAAATGGTGGTATCATACTCTGGGTAATCCCATCAAACCAGACCCCTTGAGCACTGCCAAACCCAAAGCAGTGCTGAGGCAATATTTGAAGACACAAGCAGATATCAGAGTGCACAATGTCCTGGATTTTTAGAGGATGCCAGCTGCTGCAGTTGCAATCATTTTGCCTACATGAAGAGAGATTCTGGTCTCCTTCTGCACCTGTGATTTCCTAGTAGCTTATATTTCAGCCTTTCTGAGTCCATCATTTCTGTCAGCCCTTTAGTAGATATAATAAAGATTTATATTCTGAAGGATTACTGTTGCTGTTGTAAGACATTAAAAAAACAGGCAGGAAGAACACAGACAGGATTGTTTAGTAACTCACTGAGGCTGATGCAGTTTATAGCCTGTCTCCTCTGATTTTTATCTTTTGCCTTACTCCACATGTCTGCTCCTTGGCCATTTAAATGGAAAACCTGTTTAGATTTGGCAAATTGCATTTGTGATTTTCACATATAATTTTTTTTATTGAATCAATATGTGCAAATAAAATATATAAGAAACTAGCCCTTGCAAAAAGCTTTTGCAGCCTTCTGCCATGTTGTGGGCAGTGCTTGACTGAGTACATGCTTCCTATCTAAGCTGATTCATCAGCCATAGGAGAAAAGATACACAGACAAAAAAAAATAATGGTACATCACTGGGCATAGAGGAATTGTGGGTCTCTAAACATGTGACCACAATTTCCCATATTGTAGTGTTTACAGAAAATAATTTTGGGGCATGCATTTATGCTGACTGAATATTAAGCTTAAGATCAGTTTTCGGAATAATGGTTGCTGATACTCCTGCTTACAGGGCTAATTTGTTGCTTCGGTGATTTGAAGGAATTATTAGATCTTCAGATCTGGCTTCCTGTAACAACAGGCCATTACACCTCATCCACTATTCCTGTACTGAGTGCAATAACTCATTTCTGATGCAAAAGTAATGTGTTTACATCAGGCTTCTGGAAGAACTAAAGACCACAGAGATGGAGAATCTGTCTTACCATTCAGTGTGTTCTGGACTGTTTGGTTTATGTTGGTATATGCACATACACACACACATGCACATACACAAAGGCAGGTTATAGGTGTATATCTGATTTCTCACATCAATTATTTAGGCTTCATTTTCCAGCCACTGTTACTGTAGCACTATATCTACACAATTAGAAAGAATTCAAACCTGATGTATTTTGTTCTGAAGTGTCACCATGAAACCATGACAATCATTTTGTCGTGATTGAACTCTTCAGGTCATTTTGTTTGTTGCTTATTTGTTTGTTTGTTCCCTGGCATAGTGCCTAGCTTATATCTCTTCTTCCTTGATGAGGAACTTCTCAGGTTTGTGTTGAAGCTATTTTCAGTGAATAGTTCCAGTTTACCAAGAGGTCAAGGTCATTATGGTTACCATCTTAGCATGATCTTCTGTATTTCTTCCATCCTGTCTCATTAAAAGCAGCATGCCTAGCAGCTCAAAAGAGGTGATTCTCTCCCTCTACTCTACTCTTGTGAGACTCCACCAGGAGTACTTCCTGCAGTTCTGGGGCCCTCAATGTAAAAAGGTAGACCTATTGGAACAAGCCCAGAAGAGAGCCACAAAGATAATCAGAGGGCTGGAGCAGTTTGTGTTATTCAGCTTGGAGAACAGAAGGCTCCAGGGACACCTTATAAGCAGTCTTGCAGTACCTAAACAGGGCCTACAAGAGAGATGGAGAGACACTATCCACAAGGACTATCTCCTAGTGATAGGACGAGGGGAAATGGCTTCAAACTGGGAGTAGAGTTAGATTAGATAATAGGAAGAAATTCTTTACTTTGAGGGTGGTGAGGCACTGTCACAGGTTTCCCAGAGAAGTTGTGGATGCCCCATGTTTGGTGAGTTCAGTGCCAGGTTGGATGTGGCTTGGAGCAACCTCATGTAGTTGGTGGCATCCCTGCCATGGCAGGGGGATTGGAATTAGATGATCTTTAACCCAATCTTCCAAGCCCAAACCATTGCATTATTCTATGTGGCACTTAGGGACATGGTTTGTGCTGGACTAGGCACAAACCCCAGTGCTGGATTAACAGTTGGACTTGATAAACTTAAAGGCCATTTCTGACCTAATGAATCCATGATTCTAAGATTCTGTATGTCCAAGCTACTTTTATCAACTAAACTCTTCATTGGGCAAAATCAGGGCTGTCTTACATGAAATATTTTTCATGACTTGACACCACCCACATATACCACATTGAATGTGACATCAGGTTAGATGGCCTATAATTATTTGAATCTTCTTCTGTGTTCTGTTTAGATACTTCCAGATTTGTGATTTTCTCAAGTATACCTTGTCAGAGATACTGACAGAAGGCCATCAATCTTTTGTTGCTTTTTCTTTCTATGACTCCTGGAGGAAAGCTGTCAACATCCAGGCTGTAATGCATATTTGGATGTTTTAAAATCCTGCTTGAACCTTTTAAAGAAAAAAAAACTTTATTTTATTATTTTCTGGAACATTTTGTGCATATGTTGATTGCAAAATTGTTGTGCGTTGTTGACAGAGCACTGAGTGCAGTTTAAAACTAGTCACCTTAATTAGTTTCTTAAACTGAACTCAGTTATGGTAATTAATTACAAAGCAGGACCACTAAATCCAAATCCATGACATCAGAAAAATGTATTTGTGGGCAAGTGCTGCTTATTAGTGCAGCTTGTGACAATGATAAGATTTACAAGAAAGGTGCAGCCTAAGGAAGCCGAGGGGGGAAAAAACTCTCTTCCATTTTTAATATCTTTACCATGCAAATCAATGCACTTAACTTACCCTTTAATACAGATAATGTGGTACCTAAATTCAGCACTGTAGCTGAAAACATGTAATCCTTTGGTTGCACCACCATTAGAAGATGATAAAATTTGTGAAACATTGCATTCTAATTTTTTATGAAACTTGCACTGCTAGGAAGTCATGGCTCAAATTTGCAGTTGTAGATTATTTGAATACATGCTAGATAGAGGGAAATCTTAAGAATATTTCAGAAAATTTCAGGAATAGTCCTTAAAAATTATTCTGGGTTTACATTTCTCAAAAGAATAATGTGAAAACAAGATTTAACTGTAACTTCCCTTGTCTTCTTTCCTGTTGAAGCAATTATTTACTTTTAATGTGTGAATAACTGCTATCAACAAGCTGCTCTGCAAATTTGATTTTTATTTGCTGCAGTACAGGTGAGTTTCTACTACTGTGTTCCTTTGCTAAACTCACCCATGTGCTGGCATTATTAGAGTTGGGCACAGAAGCCATTCCCCCTCACACTGCTTCTTGCTGTGCTTGCTCTCAGGAGTGACATGATTGTTTCTGATGGCTGGATGACTCCAACTCCATCTTAAAAGTCCCACTGAAATTTTGATTTTTTTTTTCTCTTGGGAGACATAAATATGAATTACATAAATAGGAATGAAGAACTCCAGAAATGATTAAATAATTTCGTTTCTATGCAAACAGGCCTTATGGGGGACATTTTTTAAACAGTAAACAGAATTCTTTCAAATTGATTTCTTGGGTGCACAGATTATTTAATTTCTAGTCTTCACCATCACACAGGTTTATTGCAATGTCCATAGGAATAAACAGCAGAACTGGAGATCCAGAGCCCTAACATGTCTTCTACCAACAAGGCAACTCTTCCTGTTCAAAAGGGACTCAAAGCACCTTTAATGCCTGCATGGAAGAAAGACACTTAACCAGAAGATTTTCTTGAGAGATAAAGAGGATGCAGATCCATACTGGAAGATGGAGAAGCCAAATCCAGTAACGTTCCATCTGTTCTGGTTAGTGACATACTTTCTTGGTTAGATAAGTAAATGTTTTACTTGATAGACACCCTAGGGTGGTATGGTTCATGCCAGTGGTTGGTTTGCCTCCTGCATATTTCAGCATGATGCATTGATGAGAGAAAACTCTCATTGGCAAACCAGAAGACAGCTTCTGAAATAGAGGATGAATCCCTGTTCATAAGAAGAGAAAACTCTCATTTGCTAATCTTTTAATTGCAAAAATCAGGCTAAATTCTCATTTAGTAATTTATTTTAAGGGCTCATCAGAAAGCCTGTCTACTAGCTTGGAAAGTTATGCCCCATCCAATTTGACTTTCCACAACTGTCACTGAAGGTGAAGTCTGTTTTCTGGAAGAAGAAAATATTTCTTCATTGAAGAATGAAGCTTCCAGGACTAGGGGAACAGCTGGAGTTCATTGATTTTTAACTTATGACAAACACTCCTCGTTATGTTTTGTAGTATGAAGTCAGTTTTTGTTACTTCCTGAGGAGAGAAAATGTTATGTTTGCTTTCCTGATTGGGCTGCAACAGTTTATTCATTTCCTAGGAATGCTGGTTCAGTACTTCTCTTTTTTTTTTTCTTTTTCTTTTTTTTTTTTTTTCCCAAACCACTCAGGCAAAAATTTGGGAACATCCAAGGTTATTTTAAAGCAATTTGCACTCTGTATTTCATTATACTGTCTCCATACTGTCTCCATGAACTGCTCAGATTTCCAAGAGCATCCAAATGACACTGTCATGGAATCATATCTTCATTCTGTCAACCCATAAGCACAACAGTGCTCATGTACCCAGACATACATTGCTAGGACTCATGGTTTGTGGTTGCAAAGTTGCTGTGCTAATCTGAAGCAGGTTGTTTTTGCCTCTGCTTCTTTTCAGTAAAAACCCAGCACCACATTGTGACATGGATGTGCTCTGGAGCGCGGTGCTAGCACAAGGCACAGCTCTGCTGGCAAAGCAAGCACTGGTGCCTTGAAATGAACCTGAAATTGATGACTGGGATTTCCATTTTCCACCAAGGTGCTCAGATGCTGTTAGAGTGATGAGGAAAAAAACTTTTTAAACAAGATTTAAACCCAGTGAATCTGCAGGAATTTCAATTAGCTGTGCTGCCATGGCACAACTGTACTGTGGCTGGTTTCAGTGGTTTATTATTAAAGCCAGAAGAAGCACTGTCAGGTGTAGAGCTAGGCAGTCTGTTAAACCTATTGCTGAACAAATTATTGGAAAGCTTAATGAAAAATACTTTGCTTAAGAGCCCTTTTCAAAGAGATTGCTTTGGCATGGGCCGGATTTTTTTTAACCAATACATTGTAAAACTGCAGTATGCCCCATCTAGGCACAAAACCAGAGTTTTTTGACTGAGTTTTCCTTGGATTTTAGGGATTAATTCACGCTATCCCTTCTCCTCTTTCCTTCCCTGCCTCTCCCAAAAAACGGTTTGAAGAGCAATCTCAGTCTTAATTCAACTGAACAAACCAAATGTTTTAAGTAAATGTTGATCTGTAAACAACCCAATTCTTCCCCCTTGTGGCATTTCTCTAGAAAGAATCATAATTTGAAATGCTTATGATAAGTATTTTGCAAAGCTGACAAGTGCAAGCCCTTGTGTTACATTTGTGGCTACAGGCAGGGAGAGAGAGGACGACAGCAGAGGTCTGAGGCAGAATTTGGAGATGACTTGTGTCACTTTTGACATGAGCTCAGGGCACAGCAGTGCTGCACCTCCAGGTACAGTGGTGCCTGGCTGCACCAGCTGCCCGGCGGTGCATGGCCTGGTGGGCAGTGTCTGGCTCTGCTGAGTGGCTATTCTATTTCCAAGGGACTTGTGCTCTGCCAGTGGTACCATTTGACGGCATGCTGCCCCGGTGATGGCTGGAGTCAGCCAAGGTAGCACGTCCCTGCAGAGAAGAGTCACTCCTCTGCAGTGCCTGATAAACAACCTGCTCTTCTTGCCCTCGTCCCTCGACACTCATTTAAACAGAACCCGCCGAGGACTTCTGCCATTTGATGTGCTGTCAAAGCAGTGAAGGTTTGGTTCCCCACAGGAGATCATGCATTCCTGTGACTTGGTGTAGCAATGGCAGACGATGATGCTTTCAATGTGCCATTGCAGAGCAGAGAGCAAGTTTCAGAGAAACTGCAAGTGAATTTCAGGACATAATACCATGTCATTCATTTTATGAAGTTATCAAAATATAACTTGGGGAAGGGTTTTTCTCACCACTGCTTTTCCTGTAAGGACTTGGAGCAATAAATCTGTGTAGCAAATAGCTCTGCTTCTCCACATTTATCCTCATTGTTGAATGCTAACTCCCTGCCCCAATATCTTGCTTTTGAGCAAGATTTGAGCTTTTGTTTAGGTTTGTAATGAAAAAGAAAACAGACTTCCTGGAAAGAGGGGAGGGGTATTGCTCTTGGTTCGTGACACAGAAACTCCTGTTTGAAGCTCTGATCCTTCACCCCCAGCACATCTTTGAGGCTTGTGAGCCACTGAAAACATCTCTTGTAGACTTCACTGGATCATTGGGTAGCTGATACAATAACTACCAGGTGTTACAAATGGGCCATCGAGTAATTTAACAGCGGGAAAGTACTTCGGCCATTGAAGTCTTTGCAACACCTTTAACTAAGGCAGAGCTGAATAGCATTCGCACATTTTTCTTTCATGTCACACTGCAGACAAGGTAAGGGGCACACATTTCCACCACAATTTTTCCTCCTCAGAAAATCAGAGCCTAAGTCTACTTTTGATGTGAAGAAAACCCCAAAAAACACCCAAAATAACAAAAACCCTCCACTTTTCAATCTGTTTCAAAATCTTGGCCTGGAGAGTCCCTACAAATTTGTGCTGCAGTAAACCAGCGCTTTTATTTTTCATTCTGAGTCTTAAAATAGCAACAATCTCCTATTTAATTTCCCTAGTAACTATATGGAAGAGAATAGAGTATTCCCTGGCATAAATCTGCAGAGCAATAACTGAATTTCATTATGAGCAATTTCAAAATATTATCTGTTTTCACCACTGCAGGATATTTTTTCCTTAAGTCTCTAAAAAAACCCTGCCCATAATCAAGTCTTCTTACACAATCCTATTTGTTCTCACACAGGTTCCGATGTATTTGACTACCATGCTGGTCAGATCCATTGGTCTGCTGTTTTTCAGCATTACAGCTACACAGTGTTCATAAGTCTGAAATGCACTTTGTAGCTGCTATGTTTTGGTGGAAGTCTCAGGTCATTAACTGAATACAGCTGAGGACTCAGAGGAACTGGCCCCAACATTGCAGCTTGGAAAATTTCAGCTTAAAATGACAGACATATGGGTTCTACACAAAACATGTTAGAAAACTGGCATTTTTGGTCACCTTGTATGGTCAAATCACTTAGACATAATGAGGAGATTGATCACTAAGGGAAAAGCTAAGGCTGGACTGAGGTAGTGCAGTTCAGGATGGTGGAAGCAGCTGCTCAAACCATGGTCATTTTGCAAATCCCTCATAAAAGTCAACTTTGTCAGGGTAATACAGCACCAGTTTCCCTGTGCTATTGATCAAAGTTGGTGACCTTGTCTGTATATTACCTTGGAAAAGCAGTTCATGGTCAGCAGGCAGCTGATTCCTTCCCACAGCTGGACTGGGAAACAGACTCCCGTGAGACAGCTGAAAACACATTTCATGGAACATGTGTTAGAATATCATTATCTCCAGTAAGATGGAGACATATCTGCTTCTATCTGATGTCTGTGTCCATGCCTTTTAATAATTATGGTGATGTAGCTTCTGTTGCCTGTCTGTGATGGTGTGAGTGGAGGCAGGCAGCTGCAGGGGATGGATTATTAGATTACAGAGATACAGATGGCAGAGTACAGCTGTACATAAGCTTTGTAGGGCAGCCACAGTTTGCAGTTTGGGACACCATCGACTGAAGTTTAGGATATATCATCATACATTCCTTGCTCACAGTGATATGCTTTCAAATGTGTGGGTTTACCCTTCTGTAGCACAGCATACTCAAGAAGGCTCTTGTTACTGGACACTTGCTTATAAACTCTGAGCCCAGGACAGAGGGAACTACCTCATCTGACCACCTGACAAAACAAAGCTTGCATTTCACCCACTTATCCCCACACTCAGTGTAGCTATTTGAGAACTTGATTGGGAGATATTTGAATCAAATATACATGAAGAGATAAAAACCCCACTGGTTCTCTTGGCATTTATTCCCACAGTTAATTCCCCACTCCACCCCCATGCTTAAAAAATTATTTGTATTTTCTCACCTAAAAACATGAAGGATTTTTCACATGGCATAAACTAGTTCATATTAGTTCACACCATGACTTTTTCTCAGCAGGCACAAAGGAAGCTGGTACCTCCTCCTGGTGCAAGCATGAGGATGACAGAACTGAGCCAAGGCATAGGTGATGCACAAGCCTCAGCCTGGCTTCTGTGTGACTCCCCTGGTGCAGGCACCTGCTGCTGGCGTGGGCTGCCTGCCTCGCCTGCTCAACACCCTGTCCCTAGAAACCTGCCTGTCAGTGCAATTGCTTTGGCATCTCTGCTGCTGAAAGGGTGGACACCCCTCACAGACAGGTGAATGCAGCAGTAAATGAGGAGCTGAGGTCTCTTCCTATCAACAAGCTGCAACTCCAGAAGTCTCTACTCCAAGGTAAACTTCAGGTACAAGGCTTCATGCTATTTACTTCTTGAAGTGGTCGATGTGTTGTCTTCCCTGAAGCTGTATCACAAACAGCAACATGGTGCCAGTTATGATATCCTATGTTCCTCCGTCTTGCTGCAAAAATTGGGTTTCCCCATTTATCTGACCCTACAGGGAATTCAAACTGACTTATTATTGTAGAAATACTGTATTTCTGCTTTGTTTTGCTGAAGTATCACTCAGTTACTTTGGGAGTGCATATAACTACTAATAATGAATAATAATATTGTTCAATCTGAAAGAAATGCTGAGATGACTGGAAGCTCCTTCATTATTTCTTTGAAAGCAAAACCCATGATTGTCCCAGACCCAGGTCATGGTAGTTCCAGATAACAGCAGGAGTACTACAGCTTGCAGCCTCTGTTTCTGGCCCTCATGAGCTGTGGGTAGTCATGCTGGAAGCTCACACCCAGTCTGCCTTGGCTGCAGTGGCTCCTGCTGGGAAAGAGAGGGCAATTTCATCTCTGTTCTGGGGCAAATGTAGGCTGAATCACATGGTACATGTTCCTGTGAATCACGCTGTTTCTATAACTTTCAAGTTCCTGGCGCTAAGAACTGCACCTCATTGCATTTTCCTCTAGAAAATCAGTGCAGCACCTGAATGTGAGGCTAAAGGATGTGCCTGAACAGTAATTCTGTGTCTACTCTCAGCACTCACCCTTAATCCAAGAGAGGCAGGCTAAGGTGGTCCTGCTGCTAAAGCTGCCATTCTTGTTTTATGTTGAGGCAAGGCTATGTAGAGTAGGTACCCCAAGATTATTAAAATATGCCAGTATTTCAAGGAGCATGGGAGGTCAAACTGGGCCAATATAATTTGTTGACCTTTTATCTATGTTTCTTTTCCAGCTGGGTCACTATGAATTGTTACATGCTAGAGAAATTTATCTTGGTTTTCTTACCCAAGCCTCAGTAAATGGATTATGACCTCTGTCTTATAGCTGTCACAGACAGGATGACACTTGGGCATTGATATATGACGTAAAGAGTGTCTACCTATCAGCACAAGTCCTGTAGCTGAGACCACAAAAAGTATGTCCACAACAAGGGATCATTTGTTTTGTGCCAAAATTGTTGACCAGACAATACCATCTTTGCAAACAGATTTAATTGTCTCCAGTCTTGGTGAGACCAAGGAAGCAATCTGTGCACAGCACTTCATCCGTCCTCTTCCGCTCATCTTCTTTTTTGTTTCTCTCCTGACACATCCCTTCTGCTTTCATTGTATAAACTTGCCATTGTTATTAATGCCTTGCTCCTTGCTCCTTCCTGCTTTGACTTAATAAGGCAAGAAGAGAGAAGCAGCCCCCACTAAAGAAATAAATATTATTAATACATGGGGATGAAAACTACACTCTTCTTGGGTTGTAGGCTACCACATTGTCACTGTGTTCCTGGGAGAGACAGAAAAGACAGCTAAAGTCCTTAAACTACCCATATCATATAAGCTATAATATCCTCAAAAGTGTGCCAATGAGTCCCAAGTATCTTGGGCAGATGAACCTGTTCCAGCAATAAATTTCTTGTCTGAGCTCATCCTGCTTGCAAGGTGACAGGGATGTGTGCAGTCCTTTGATGCAGTGCAGGCCTTAAGTGTGTAAGCGTGGTGTCAGAGGACAGCTATATTTACCACAAATGCTGCCTGTGTAGGAAAAAATGGAGGCTTTCCCTGATGTGAACTGCTGTGAGCTACAAGTTTCCATGTATCAGACTGAGTGCACCTGGAAAGGGTTCTCAGAGCATAGGACAGTGCAAATAAAATGTCAAAAAGACTTTGATATACTGGAGAACAAGAAAAGCAGGAAATGTTTTATACATAAGAAATGTTTTCAGTTTAAATTTCCAAACATGTCATATAATTGTGTAAGATTTTCAATTTTTAATTTTTAAAGTTCATTTTATTCCTTTAGCATTCTTAAAAATGTGATCCAAATTCTTCAGATCTGAAGAATCCAGATAATGTATGTGTGAACATCCCTTTTTTTCAACTATGATTTTTATCCTGAAAATTATGCTGTTTGCACAACAGTCACTTCCCTTACAGTTTCTGAACCCTTTGTTTTATGTCAGCCAAGTCTGACGGGGTCTCCAGGTCTCAAAGATATTCAGATTCGGAAAGTTCCAGACAAATCAGCTAAGTGGACTCAAATGAATTCTTCTTCCAGGGAAATTTAAGTAAAATAACTGTTACTCCCTCTTTCCAGCATGGGTCACCCACTGCATCAGAAGCCAGGCAGCATGCATATTGGAGTTTGCTGTCTCTGCCTTGGGGTGGCCAATGGGGAATGTTATGCTGTTGGAAGGAGTTAGATGAGCCACCAGGCAGGCACAAATCCATAGGAAATTACATCTCCTTGCTTTTCTTGCTCCCAGGAAAAAAATGTCCAGACAGTCCCAGTACTGAGTCTCCCGGCTTGGAGGGCATAATGAATGTTGGTCTTGCTGTAGTCCATCATCCTTTCTCTCCAAACAGCCTTAAATATATATTATGATTAGTAAATTAATGGAATTTTTGTGCTGTTTGAACTAGTATTGATTGGTATTGATTCCACTCCAAAAGCAATATGAGGCACAGTAGTGTATCAGGGACCTGGAAAGTCCCAGATTGTTATGTGTTGGAAGGGCACAATAGGAAGAGGAATGAGCTCATATGGCCGCTACTACAGAAAAAAAAAATTGGAGAATCACTTCTAGTGTTTTCTACTTTTTATTTTTCATGTTTGATAAAAGACGAGTCCTGAAAAAAGTTCTCTTGAAATAAATGTTCCCAGGCTATTCTATTTTCTAGTGTGGAAGAGCTTATTAACATTATCTTGTATTGGCAAAGGACTTGCAAGTTACAACAGGATCGATTTTTAGCTGCAGCATAGAAAAAGCCTTTATCTCTTCTGAGAAACCTTTGTGAGAAGAAATGGCTCAGCCAGCAGTCAGTCCTGGTTCTGGAGCCAGGTGCTACTGCAGGGACCCACCGTCAGCGGCACTGGAGCCCACCTAGAGATGGGATCAGCCAGCCACCACTGCATCTTTTTGATGGAATTTTTTTTCCACCTTCCTTTCAAAGACCTGTACCACATGCATTTCAGGTGGTAGTTCAGCCTCTCTTCTACTTGGTAAAGGATTTGTTGTTATAGCTGTTTGACAAACAGCTGAGATGCACCAGGGAACAATACAGGAGAGACCAAAGTGCTGTGGAGTGGCATAAACACATGCAAGCATTAATGCTACTTAAGGAAGACTATGACCTTGCAGTGACCTGGCAGGTGACAGACAGAGCCTGTCTCATGAACTGTATCCAGACAAATTTCCCGGTTCACTTTTTCTCTGTTGCCTAATCCTTCTCAATGACACTTGGAGCAAAGTAGCTGTTCTGAGACTCCCAAACAGTTGCAGACATGTTGGGTGCCAGGGCCCCAGGCAGGATTTTAAACCACCTAGAGCTTGAGGTGAGACTACTACACCATGCAGGACCTTTGTGCCGAATCTCTGGGAAGATTAATTTCTGCTATTTTTATTTGCAATGCGGTTGTTTTGGGTTTTGTTTGTTTTTTAATATGAGATTATGCTTCCTAGCCATCTCTTTCTGCTTGGATGAGAAACAGCAAATGGAATGCTGCACAGCACACCACATGGCCACAAATGTCTGATCACAGTCAATGAACAATAATACCAATATCTAGTGTTAGAAAATACACCGTAGAGAATGTCTGTTTAGTCATCCATCCATCATTCTGCAAAGGGAAAGGGGAGGTAAAAGGAAAGGCAGGAGGCTCCCCTTTAGCGCACATGCAACACACGCACACAACTTGCCAGCTGCCCTTCAAGGTGATTGATGCTAACAAGTGTAAAGAGAAGACCTCTGGAAATGATGACATGGTACCTGATCACCAGCTTTATAGGAATAGAAAAATAAATTTGCATTAAATAAATCATTAACTGTGATGAATTCATTTGATTTAGCAGTTAAAAGCTTGTACCCTTTGTTTTCTTGTGTATTGCTGGGACGTACATGTTGTTGAAGCACCAGAAAGCGGAAAGAAATTCTGTAATGATTCAGGCTTTTTGTTAATATTTCAAATCCCATTTTATTCACATGTATCTGAAAGATGGTAAGAGAGATGATAAAATTGACTAAGCATTCCTTTCTTTATGCTATTTCTTGTCAGGGTAGGCTGGCCATATTTTCAGATGTACTCCACAGCAGTCCCAAAATAAAGGTGTCTGACTGTACAACCACATTACACACAGCCAATGCAAGCATGAGCAGTCCTGCCTCAGGGACACAGTGTAAATTTACACTTATGCTGACTCTAGACTGCCGTCCCCTGGTAACCTTGGATAGTCCAGGGATTTTGCACCCCTGTTTCTTCAGGCCAGCTGGCAACATACACCTACCTAGACCAAGTTGAATAAAATAAGATTTGACTGCTCTGCGAAAGAAAACATAGTATGAACAATAGGGTGACTCAAAGTTATCAGTATTCCACTGTTATTTATGTTAGGTGTTATTTCAGGCTGTATTTATTTATTTTAAAAAACCCCAAACACTTAACTGATGGGTTTGTATGCTGTTTGTCCTGTTACATTGTGTTGACATGGGTAATTGGGCCAGGACAGGAAATATCAGTAAACAACAAAAATCTCTAGAGGTTTATTTCACTTTCAAATCTCTCTACATTTGATTTTAGCTTTGAACTAAACCACAAAAGCAGTAAATTTTGAAAATGTAAAAAAGAGCAATGGGTTAGAACTTTAGGGATGTACAGGATTATGCTTTCAATGAGGAAAAGTGCAGGGCCTGGTTAATGTTTAAAGGCTTTAAGAATAGTAGACACTGAATTTTTTTTTGTTTCTGTGAAAACAAAGAAATATATACAAACACATCTTTTTACAATGGTTAAAAGACGCTGGCATGTAGATATAAATCAATTTAGCCTAATTAACTACTTCAGAAACATGACCACAGCTATCAACTGATCATTAATATTAAAATACTCTGATTTAATACTATGAAATCTCATGTGAGAGTCAGAAGTTTCTTTTTTTGATAACCTCTTTTACCACTACAATATTTTCACATGCTTTGGTCTTTTATTTAACGTTAGCTAATACAGGATGAGCTCTAAGCTGGTCCATTTTCCCATATAAAGTCCAGTAGCCCTGGTGAACCCGGTGTCGTAGGATTCAGCAAGCAGCTTTCCCCCAGCCCAGATGACAACCTCATTATCCATCTTTCGAAATATTTCAGCTGTGGAAGTGATACACTTATGTAACATGTACTTGAGAAAAATAAAACCATCTCTGCTTTTAAAGAGAAATGCTCGGCACCTCCTGCCACCACTTAATTCTCACAATTTCTTCTTTCTCTATAAAGTGTAAACTAGAAAAATATCATGAGTGAAAAATAGTGATGACCAGGAAATATGAAATAGAAACAAAATGGCAGATGAGAACAGGGGATAATGCTACCTTAAAGAGATACCTAAAAATATTCCAGTTCTTCTCATTTAGCAACAACCCTCATATCACATCACAGCGTTTTCCATTTTACCTGGAGCCACTATCTCTTCATGTAAAAGGGAGCAATATAACCATGTATTAAACAAAACAAACACCAATTTAGTGTTTCTGTAACCAGCAACCATAGGAACAGCAGCTGGCAGTCAGTGTGTCACCCACCCATGCCTCAGGGCCTGAAATGGCTGCAGGACTTGTGCCCCCCACAAGTGCATGGTTTCCATGCACAACAGTTGCTTCTCTAGCATTGCAGATACAGGGGATTCTTTCCAATGGCCAGACTTGAAGAGGTCAGCCCTGAATCAAGGGTTTGTCTCTGCTATAGCTGCAGAGATGTAGCTGCTGTGAGGATGAAGGTGTTGGAATGGATGGTGCCTGCAGCAGTGTGCTCAGCCATGTGCTTGGTGGAAACACAGAAATGCTAAAGACTGAAATCTACTGCCAGATCTTTGCACAGTTTCTCATACATGGACCTCCTGCAGAGGTATCTAGGCACAAAAGTGCCAGTGTAGACGAGGATTTTATGTTACAGCTATTGATAATAACTGGAACTGCTCTTCCAAAAGCTCTAATGCACTGGGAGGCAAGAAGGAATGTGGTTTGGCAGGCAGAGTGGGCCTGATTCAACCAACTGCTTATGTGTCACTGAAATCAATGGTGCTATTTAGGGGCTTAATTGCTTTGCTGAATCCAGGCCAAAGAGACAAAAAGCAAGATGGTTAAGCTGCAAAGCTTGGATATATATCTTAAATCTTGAACACTTATATCCTTTATCAATATTATGATTCTCCCCAATTCACAGTTGCTCAGAAAAGTTTCAAAGGAAACACATGCCTTACTTTTTGGCCCTGACTTAGCAAACATTTTGTTGTACCATTATTCATGTAGATGGTGCCATATTCTTAAGAACAGAAAGACACAAGTGAAGTGCCACAACAGGCTGTTTTTGCAGGTCAGAGCTGTATTTAATGTCTACAGCATTTAAGCATTCCTACCAAGGTTATACAACTGCTAGAGACATCTGGACCTAATACTGAAATGTTCCTATTGCAATCTGTGTGTGCGTGAATATTCGTGTGCCAAAATATTTATTTAAAACTGTCTTTAAAAGAAAGAACAATAAATTCAAGGAGTTATAATTCTTTTCAGTTGTTTTTCTTTCAATAACAAACACACCTCAGACAAATAAAAATGAACTGTTTCAATACCAGTGTTTAAATAATGCTTTTACTCACTGGTTAGTCAGTACCCATAAAGAATGGCTGCATTTGCCCTAATTAATGTCCCATTTCCAGGAAAGGCTTTAATTAACATCTGACATTTAAGCAGCACCACAATGTGGTGTGCAATTATCACCTGGCCTACTTTGGTGTGATTCAAATGCTCTTGGAGAAAAAGATGCTATTTTTTTCTCTGAAAGTTTTCTAGAATGGAATAGCAACAGAGACCTAAGGAAATGAAGGAAAGAAAGCCAGATCTTCAAAGAGATTTAGGGTGGAGTTTTCCAGTACAATCCTAGCCATCCCAGTGGCTGGTTTCCCCCCCAAAAGAGGGAACCCACTCAGCTTTGCCCTGGGCCATGCATTTCTAACCCACTTCCTCTCCCCAAACTGGCAAAGCCCTGAGTGCCATTGGGAGAGTCAGAACTAATAATACAATTGAGCCCATTTGATAACTAAATGCTGCTAAAACAGGATGGTCTTCCTCCTCTAGTTTTCTTCATCTTCTTTCCCCTGCTTTGTGTCCCTCAGGCTCCACCAGAAGCAAGCCAAGCTGGCTCAACTCCTTAGCCCTGGGATCAAAAGAGAAACTTGTTGCTGTGCTAAAGCAGTTTCCTGACAGTTTAGTGGGTTCAGCTGGCTCACCCTTGGTTCTCACTCCCAGGATGGAGAAGGGAGAAATGTGGGACCACCACCCCCCAGTGGAAGTGGGCTGGAATTTTGTATTGCGAAATCAGATCTTATCTTGCGTAGGACGGTACACCACACACAAGCATGTTTTTGTACTGTATGTATTTTCCATCAGAAAATTAGTGTCTAATCAAATGTCAGTGTTGGTGAAGTGAAAGGTAAGAGCACGTGGCAGGGACCTGATGGCCCTTTTGGTTGGTCTGAGGCCACTCTTCCCACAGTGAGCTGTAACCAGAGAGAAGACTTTGTAAAGCAAGAACATACTTTACCCTACCTATTCAAGTTGCTTTATATGGCATGGAAACATGGAACAGGCTAGGGTGGAAAAGACTTCCAAGGGCATAGACTTATACACTAACTCAAGTAGCTATTAATGTTTAAATACCCAGTATTTGCTGGGTCACTGAGAGTGTGAGCAAGCACCAAGCTGTGGCCATGCTGAACCTCTCTCCCTTTTTCTGGCCTGATGAATATTTCATTATGCTATGTCAAGAGAAACAGCTTTTGGCAAGGGGGGCAGGGCTCTTTTCCCTCAACTTCCCAAGAATACACCACAGCTCCTGATCAGAGCACCTTCCCCAGAGAAATGAGATGGTTTGTTTTGACAGAAGAGGGCCTGGGTGACACTTCCCATGCTGTGCTACAGAGGCAGGTGTTTCTTTACCTCATCTTCCAGCCATGCCTTGCTGGAGCTCAGAGTCAACTCTGCAGAAGGAGATCCCTAAACAACATGGACAGAGAAGATAAAATCAACACATTGTGATAGGATGGGTGCACAGCTACCTGGGAAGAGCTGAGCCCTTTACAGACACATCCAGAGTGAGAAATAACACACTGGCAACTTTGGTGCATGAAGTGGAGGATGGGCTGACATACTAGTACTGAGGTACTCACGGTAACTGCCCTGTCCCCAGCCAGCCCCTGCCTAACAAAATCAAACCAAATGTAACTTGGCACATGGGGCTGCATTTAGAAAGCTGCAGCAGCTCTGGAGTATTTCAGGTATGTGCAGTGAGGACAGGAGAGACAGCTGGGGTGGTAGTCTTGTTAGCTAACCTGATATAAATTGTCTCTTCCCATGAATCACAGCTGCCAGGCACCAATGGGATTTGGAAGCCTCTAGAGTGAGGCTGTAAGGAGAAACTGAATATCATGATTTTGGATCAATAAAACTAAATTTTAGAAATATTTCAGAAATTTAGGAATAGAATGCATGTGTCCACCTTTTTATGTGGGTCTAGTCTTTGGAGTATATGTTATACCATCCTTTAGCCTGCCACACTTCCACACAGAGCTGATGATATTTGCCTCTAAAAAATTACAGACAAGGGACCCTTTATGAACTGACTGTGGGTTAATGTGTTGGTTAGTATCCAATAATTCCTGAGATCTAAGCCCAGATCTGTCATCTATCTGTTCCATTGCTCTAAAAGGAGTTCATAAAAATAGCATCCGGGAGCTCTGTATCTATTGGAATTCAATATTTCAGTCTGGCAGCCTTGAAACCAAGAGTGAAGAACTGCTCTTTTAGGCAGTACATTGTTGCCAGCTTCTGGGTCAGCAACAGGGAATGGGCACATTCTGTATAACTCAAGTGGTAACCTGACTCTCCTTGGTCAGTACTGCTTCGGCAACGCAAGGAGAATGTGTTATTGAAATCAGTGGAATTATTTGCAAGAATGAGAATAAGTGACTTTGCAGGATTGTACATTTTTTTCTCTTTCTTTTTCTCTCTTATTGTATGGTCAAACATCCAGGGGACTAGTCATGACCCTGTTGAAAGTTACAGCCTGTCTAGTCTTTAATGTCTGTTTTTAAAGATGATCCCATCCACCTGTTCATTTTCCTACAGTCCTCATTCTTCACGCTGACTGCATCCTAGTCTTTTCCTCATGCCCTATATGACGCAAGGCAATAAAACCAAAAATGATGCGAACTGGTTGATGGATCTGCCGGTCCGGCTTGTGCTACTTCCACGAAGCGCTGCTAGGTGGCAATATGTCACCTGGAAAACCACGAGCTTCCAGCCGCCGTCGCCTTCCTCTGCTTCCGACCGAGCTGGGACGTGCCTGGGCATCGCTTCGCTCCGAAAGAGGACAAGCCCTTGGAGCGGGACCTGGTGAGAGCTGCTGCGCTCACACAGATGTGTACTGAGGTTTTCCAGACACAACTGCAGAGCTGAATCCTACTGGAAAAATTCTTTGTGAACCCAAGAGGAAAAATAAGAGGCAAGCCTGCTTGTTGCAGAGTGTTGTAAAAGGGAATGTATCCTTTTATTGCATAAAGATAGCAGTGCCTGGGATTAGACTATTTCATATTCTCGGGTCTCTGAACAATACAAAGTTGAAACTATCTGTTCAGCGTGAAAAGCGTTTGTTTTCTCCACATAAATAATTAATTGAAATTTCCTACATATTCAATCATATTTTTTAATGAACTAGGCCAATTTTGGAGCATTTGTGTTGACAGTTGGGTTGAAAAACAGCTTTAATAAAGATGGTGACGATGTATTTCCAGATACATATTTCAGCCATTGTACAAATACTTAAAATTGAGTCATCTTATGTATATGTCTCAACAAGGACATGGACAGATAAGCTCATATTTGCATAATGTTTTGAATATGCAAAGCACTAAGTAATCTTCATTGAAACCATTTATTTCTCTTGATCTGGCTGCTGGCGAAGCCGATGGGCACGGCTGTGTGTGACAGTGCCATTTTATGCCGGCCTCAAGTTTACACAATCACAGTTCGATGCCAGGGCAGTTTGCGGCTTGCTCAGCACTTTGGCCCAGATGCCAGAGCTGGGTACAGGTAAGCGGCACCTGGAGCCGGAGAGACACAGCGGCCAGGAGCAGCACAGCTGGAAAGAGCTCCCACTTAGGCTGACAGGTAAACTAGATGGATGTGGAAGTGGGGAGCCCAGGTCTCTCCTTGTGGCGACGTGGACAGGGAGCTAACATCTCTCCTGCCTGCTGCGCAGCCCCAGGCACAGCAAGTGGTGCCCCGCAACTCCACGCTGGATGCTCCCGGCAGCATCCGTATCCTCACCTGAGGCGAGACCTTGTCCTGAGACAGCGGAGAAATGAGAATCTTTAACTCCCCTGACTTGGATAGAAACACGGGGTTTGGTTTTCAGGGATGGGGGCGATCGGTGCAGAAAACAACAATAATGACGACCTACTTGTGTAGCATAGTAGTAGTTTAGCAACCTTGGAGCTGACAAGTATGGTCTGCTTCAAAATTGCTTAAATTCAGGCAGCGTTCTCGCTGCTTGCGGTCACGCCTCTATGGATGCGGTATACAGACCCCCTCCTGCTGGCCCCGAGTCACCCCCAGCTCCCGAGGGCTCAGCAGGCTTTTAATGCCCTGGCTCGGCGCGGGGCTGCCCGACCCCGCAGCTCCCGGGGCGCGGGCGGGCGGCTGCGGCCCGGCCCTGAGGCCGCGGCAGCGGTTCCCGGCGGGGCCCTTTCCCCGCGGCACCGCCCGCCTCCGCTGCTCCGCCGGCGCCGGCCCAGTCAGCGCCGGGCCCGGTCAGTGCCCGCCGCGGGGCTCCGCTGCTCCTGCCGCCCGCCCGGGCCTCGGGAGAAAAGGGCCTCTGCCGGGGAACCGGGCTGCCGAGGCGGCGCGGGGCCCCGGCAGCGCCCGGGCGCGGGGCAGGCTCGCGGCAGGCTCGCGGCGTCCCGGTGCTCGCAAGGCCGCGGGGCGCCCGCGGCAGAGCCGAGGCGGCTTCGTCGGTGCTGGAGAGGCCGGCGGTGCTTCTGCTTAGCCCTGACGCCTCGGGTCTCGCTTTGGGAACAGCCGGTCACCGCCCACTTCGGCCCTGCTCGGCACTGAGCCCTGCCTTGACGGTTGATTTAACATAAGTAATTTTGTGTAAAAAACCGAAATGTCAGAAAAGCTTCCCTGGGTCAGACCGCGTGCAACAGCGCACTGGTCGGGATTTTGGCATCGCGGGTCAGCAGCGAGAAATGTCCGCTGGGGAAGTAGCTTCCATCCCTCGGTCTCTTGAGTCTTCACAGTCTTGCCAGGGTGACACCGTGCAGGGAGGTTGCCATTGCTTCCCGGAATTCGGTGTGTGGAGACAAGGAAGCAGGTGACAGGCAGTCCCGGTGTGGTGCTGCTAGTTCCCACTGCTGTTTCAGGGTAACAGGAGAATCGTGGCTGTGTGGCCGGTTCAGACCTTGGTATAGGGTTTTTTTTGGTGTTGCTGTCGGCAGAAGCACTTGTGGGTGGTGGTGGTGGTGGTAAGGGGAGAATAGTAAAGAACAGTTAATTAAGTGGAATTCAGAAGACTTATTGACTACAAAAGTTACGCTTTTCAAGGCAACCATTGGGGAAGCATCAGTATTTGCAGTTACAGCTAGAATTGAATTCATGTGTTTATGGTTCAGGACTTGGTGACTGAAAGGCAAATGGTGGGTTGGTTGTGCTTGTTGCCATTCCTGTGAAGTTGTGCATCTGCTCTTCTTAATGGTCTCTAAAACACACCTAGTGGGCAGTGAACTTAAAATTGAGTTTTCTACCACTGTTACAAAAGCTCCTTTGATGACAGGTGTGAAGAGAACCTCTGAGGATCAAAGCATTAAAAAATAAAGGGGGGGGGGGCAAGTGCTTTTTGCAGAAAATAACAGATTCTTGCCCTCTGCTGTGAAACTCAAAATCTTTAACTCACCATGGGACCAAAATAAAATATTTTTAGGTAGTGTCATCTGAGTTTATGGAAAGGCTTCCTTTGTCAGTTGTTTTGCATCATTAAATGTAATTATTTTTCTGTGGACTTCAGTATGTTTCTTTGTGATTTGTTTACTATTCTTCAAAAGAATTAAAATGTGATTAAGAGAGAATGTAATTGTTTAGGGATAGAAGGACAATTCACATCTAAACTCTACCCTACAGGGATCATTAAAAAATACAAAACTAAACAAAGAACACATAATTTGGAAAGCCATAGCTTGCTGTGCTCAGAAACAATGAAAATAACAAGAAAAAAAGGAGAGATAAAAGCAGAAATGAGGTGTAAATGGTCAGCCTGCTTAAAACTGAAGCTACAGACAAGGTTTTTTTTACTTACAATGTTAAAAGGTTTTTCTTACCCCAGTTAATTTTTATTTCCTATGTACATTATTTGATGCTATTTCAGTTAATTAATTTGGACATGTTCTCACTTCTTGTTCTTTCAGCTTCTGGATGGATAAACTTTATTTTTAATGCTAACATCTAGAAAGTAGGAGGCCCAAATCTTTTGTTCTCTCAACAGTAGTACAGAGGCTAAAAAAATTGTCCTTTAAAATACCAGCTACTTTTAAAGCTTGTTTTTAGAGGAGTCATAAGGCTTTTAAAGTAACTAGCTGAACTGGAGGGACTGTTGATCCCATCTAATTTGTCTACAGTGCAGGTACCAGAGCAAATTTGAGCAGGGCTTAGCAAGTTTGAGAGCCATGACAACTGGAGAAGGGCATGAGGGATCAGTCCTCTAGTTGGGGAGGTAGAATCTCCTCAGCTCCCCAGCTTTGTTTAGTTTCTGTATTTGCAAATTATGTTTTGTCAGTAGGTTTTCTGCTGTTGATCCCTTAGCATGCTTATGATCTGCTTGCTGCTTGCTCTGAGCATTGAGAAAGCCAGCTGGGAAAGAGACTGTCCTCAGCTTGCTTCATCTGGTAATTATTAGAGCAGGAGAACCTGTTGGACAAGGTGTTTAAGTTAACCTAACCCACGCATCATGGAAGGAAAGTAGGGGGATGGATAAGTGGATGAGGTAGGTGGAGGGCTCTGTAACCGTGAGGTGAGCGGTGGTGACAAGCAACTGGCAACAGAGGAATCCTGTATGTGAGTCCTCCCTACTACAACTTTCTTGTGTCTGAAGGCAGGGTCTAGTGACTCTTCACTGTGAGACCAAGCTGGCCTCCTTTTGTTTTTGAATCTTTGAATCTCTTCTCTTTGTCCTACACCATAATTTATTTTCTTTTTTTATTGTCTATAATAACCCACCAGCCCACTGCCCGTGGTTACTATCAGTTGTTGTTATTTTCACTCATTTTCAACCTACTTTTTTTTTTTCCTACAAATGGGCTATGTTCATGCTTTGTTTCTCCGCCCCTCTGCCTTTTTATCTGTTTTCATGCTATAGGGTCAGTTGTGTCAGCCCTCAGTACTGGGCCACCACTTGCTTTCCATTGATTGGCCGCTACAGGAACCTGGTGAAGCATCTGCCAGTCATGGTCACTGCTCTCTAGTACAGGTTAATGCCTTTTAAAGTGACTGGTAAGCCACCCACACAGGGTTGTGAGTCATCTCATCATCATTCTCAGTTCACATCTTCTAACCCTTATTCCCTTGTCTTTGCACTTCTGTGCTTGTTGCTGAAATTGCAGCTGCCAAAGGTCTTCATCAAGTCAAGTTTTCTTGTTCTTGACCAAGTGCCCTTGATACCTTTGGTAATATCACAAAAGTGCCTTTCTAGTTGTTTTTTATTTATTTCATTTGAATATTTTCTCCTCTCTGAGATTGATTTTATGGATTTTGTCTGTTGAATCCCTTTATTTCTGTTATGCTTAATCTCAGTATACCGTCATCCAAACCCAGAAATTAATTTTATGTTTTTTTTTTTCCAGTATCTATATCTGCGCATCACACCTCTCACATCCTGCCCCAGATGAAAGGCCATGCTTATTTCTCTGATGTATTGAAAACACATGCCTGCATCTTTTTTTATCCATTATCTTTTTCCCTGACTTGTGTCAATAATTCAGGCACCATTTCTGAACTGGAATTTTCCTTGCTCTTGTATTTTAACTTGCTGATTTGACTTGCTGTGTAGTGCAGTGTTTCTTGTTTGAGCATACAGCTCCTAAGATTCAGTTCTCTGGTTTGTCTTAGTTCTTCTACCCTTTCTTCTAGAAAGTTGCAGCCCACAACCCTTACCTCTTACTTTGGCCAGGTATCTTAATGTTCAGTGACAATTGCAACTGGGAGCATTGCTGGAGGTCTGGAGGTTGCTGTTTGATACATCATGTGTTATGAGACATTTCGGTTGCAACAGAGTAGTGGTAATGGCAAAGGCAAATACCCTTGTTCAAGACTTAATAATTTCCCAAAGAATCTACTCAGGGAGTATTGATGTTGGTGTTATCCCTATTATTACTATGTTTTATTAACATTGTAAGGTCTGAATTTTACCTAGACAGTTGCCAGAGGCTGTCAGAAGGCCTCTGATAATCTGTGTGCACAAAAATACATAAATTGTGCCTGCATGTAGATACACGTCCTGCTCTTGTAGATACATGTGCTGGTCTTGCATAATGTGTGTCAGTCCTTTGTACTGAAGTGCTGGCACTTGATGTTTATATTAACCCACGGTCTGCTACCCCACAGGCAAGGGTGTTGCAAAATCACTTGAGTGTCAAATGGGATTTAAATGTTGTTTTATGTAAGCGGTACAATAACTGTGGAATGAGCAACTATTGATGTCCACACTGTTGGCTTCTCTCTTGGTTGTCACCAGTGGTATGTAAAGCTGTAGCACTTAAAACGTGAAAGATGTTAATTGACTAATGTTATTCCTATACTGTCAGGTTGGGTTTTTTTCATCATAGGAACTGTGCATGAACTACATTTGCTACAGAGGCTAATGGGCATAGCATGTTGCCTATTTAAAATTAGACTAAGACTCCTTTTCTGTAAGTATGTATAAATAGATGTGATTATGCTAAACTGAAAATCTGAAAATTTTAGTGTTAATAGATATCTCTTGGCTGGTCCTACAACATCGTAAGTATTACTGCAACATCTTTCTTTCACTGCTTTCATGCAAAATACAGAAATAATCAATCTCAGTCATGCAATGAATTGTAAGCGTTCTGTACTGATTGAAATTCTGGAGGTTGTTTGTCAGATACCAGCAGAAATCCCTTTAGGCTGAGAGAGCTCTAGGTCTTCCTATCATGCTTTTCTTGAGTGGTCAGCTCAGTCAGACTGAACTGTTAAAATAATCCTATTTTTATTGAAAAAGACTATTGGGCACTGACCGGAGAGTCACTGGAGGAGATTGTTGTAAAAAATAATTCAAAGATTATACCTTGCATGAGTCATTAATCATGAGTCATGATCAGCAGGCAGTGGTGTCCAATTTGTTTTCTAATCCCGCACTTGCTGCTGTTCTTTATTACCATAGTGATAATATTAAAGAGCTGTTAATGCACATAACCATGCAGTTGAAAATGACAGACTCTTTTTTCGTTGGAATAAAATTTCCATATCTTAAGTATGTTTTGCTCAGTATATTTCTTGTCATGAGAAATTCAGTAGTGTATAAAAGTAATGAAAAAAGTTAAAGTCAGCAAGTGGTTAAGTTAGCAGAATAACCCTTTTTTCCCCCTCCTCTTTGCTTTCAAGCCAGTCACTGGGGCTTCCTAGAGAATTCCAGCTAGTCTGTTTTAGTATGAGGACTGGGGACACTGTATTCATTAAAAATTGGGAGTTGGTTGTTCAAGGTACACTTTACAAGGAAAGGCTACACTGTCCATGTATTTCATGTTCTCTCCTCAGCAAAAGCTAGCAGCTGGATGGAAAGTTTTATTGCTTTAATGTATGCTGAGGAATGACTACTGAGGTTTTAGAGAAAAAGGAAGGCTGTCTCTCTCTTGAGAGACTGAATATAAAAAGAATCAATTAGGTGAAATGAGCTTTAGAAACCCATTTTCACTCTTTAAATAAAATTTTAAAAGCTCTGAAGGGTGGTAGCTGAAGTCTTGCAGACTATTAGAATGTGCATCAATGGAGAGTGTTTGGGTGCAGCAGCAGTCAGGGAATGTTTTTTATGAAGTAATCTTATATTCAATTAGATTTTAAACTTGATTAAATTTTGTAATTAGTTTTATTAGTTTGCACTTTGGAAAAGTTCATCATGATGGATTAAAGATCTGTTTGTCAACAGATAATAAAAACTCATCGCTTTATGTTTTCTTGTGCAGATGGTTTTATAATGCATACATTTGTGTAGGCCTTACTAGTTTCTTCTTGTTGAGCTTGTGAGATCCTTTTGTATTGGTAGGTGCAGTTTGGCAGGACATGTATGAACCTACTGGCATAGATGGCTCTTCACAGTTGCCTGGCATTGCTGCATGTACCTTCACATCCCATAGTATGGTTGCTCTGCAGACTCCTCCTGCCTTTGAATGAGGACTATACCTGCACCAACAGAAGCATTTTCAAGTTTAGTGTAGAATGGTACAGCCAGTGACAAGATAAGTGTTTACTTGACAGGGCTGTTCACTTGTTTCATTAGGAGCTAATTGTGTGTGGTTTTTAATGTGCATTTACTTGGTCATGTGTGAATAATAAAGGTTTTCAAAAATGTTCAGTCTGTAAGATACCCTGAACAGAGCATACAATATAGCTGTCACCAAATTCTGTCTCAGTGAATGTGTTTGTGTTCTGCGTTCACCTTAGAAAAACTTTCCAAAAGCTGCTCACCGATTTTGAAAGTATCTTGTTTCTGCCAATTAAGATTCAGAAAAAAAAAAAAAGCATCTACAAAAAAACGCACATCTTCATTATGATTCAGAAAAAAAATGAGCATCTACAAAAAAAATTAACATCTACAATGTCTTCTGAATGTCTTTAAGGGCCAAGCCATTAAAAAGTAGGTTGGGGCAAAGGTAGGACTACTCTGTCAAATTGCAAAATAACAAGAGGCTTTTTTCACACGTCCTGTGGGGGTTCTTTTGATTCTCATTCTGATTGATTTTTGAGATGACTTCATTTCCAGATCAGCTGTTTTCAGTTCAGGCTTTACTCAGTTTCTTTAAAGTCACTTGTAAACTGCTTTTTCTAGTCGACCCATTTCCAGAGTAAATAAATTAAGGCAGAGATGCAGATCAAGTGCAATGTATGGTAATCACTTTCTTGTTGTTTCCTTATCTGCAGTCATACACTGTAGAGTGGAAATAGCAGAGGAATAAGCCATGAGTATACTGGTGCACAGAAATACTTTACAAGTATTATTATCTGTATATAAGGCAAGTATGGCGCTCAATGCATAATACTGTTGCACACTTCTCATTCTTTGGAGCACTGCACAGATTCTGGGCCCAAATGAGATTAACTCAAAGTGCTGCTGAGATGACTGGGAAAAGCACATAGCAATCAAAGGCTAGGCAGACTAATTAGTTTTAAGATGGGGTGTGACAACTGTGTTAATGGAATTAGGTGACGGGGAACAGATTTCGATATAAGAATGATCTTCAGTTCTTAATTTTTACGTTCCTCAAGTATTTCTCTGGGGAATGTTTTGTTGTAATAGTTGCTACAGAAATGCAGGATATCCAGATCTTGAAAGTTGTGGGACTTGAAAGGATTTTTCCTCCATTATAGGTATGTTTTTAGAGGGAAGGGTGAGGGAGGGTTTGGAAGAGTAATACAAAGTAAATTAGCCTAGTGGAATAGATAAGAGTCTTAGTTTTTAGTCTATAGTTTTTAAGCCTCTTTTGTTTTCTGCACACAATAACTTTTTTGGTAAATTTTACAAGGAAATATTTTAAAAGGTGCTAATACCCGGCTTAACTACTAAAATCACTCCATAAAACTCCTCTGTTAACTTGTGGAGGTAGATTCAAACCAAGAATTTTGCAAATGTAGTTTGCAGTGATTTCTGTCAACTGTTATGATTGTATCACCTTTATATTAGTTTCTGCTGTCATACTTCCCCCTTTCTCAGAGGACTGAAGTGGTTTTCAAAGGAAATTTCCTAATTTTATTTTCCCCCTCACTCTATGTATTTCCAGAAATGGCCCTTGCTTTATGGAAGAACTTTCTTCAGATTACAATGAAAAGGATACTGCAACAAAGGAGGTTGTCACTGTATAATGGTGCTCATGGCTATGAGGAAGAAGTCATAAAGAAGAAACTTCAGCAGTTTTCTGGTGGATCCATCAACCTTTCCAAAGAAGACAATGGCATGGCAATACTTACTTTGAATAACCCAAAGCTAATGAATGCCTTTTCAGGTATTGATTAGTTGATGGGATTGCTGGTTGGTTTTGATCTGTCTCATGTTTAGTTACCAGTTTTGACATGTTGCCTAAAGAAAGTGAAACACTTTGCTTTGCTACACCTTAGTTAAAAGAATAAATCTGTAAGTTTTATTCAGATGTGCGTCAAATGTGTCCAGTGTTTTGTGTAGTAACTTTGCTACAAATGTCAGAAGAATTTAAGAAATTCTCAATGACACAAGGGCTGTCTTGCAGAAGGTGCTTTTCCCCATGTTGTTTAAGTGTTAGCACAGTTCTGCCACTGAGCTGTTTCTGCCATCTCCTCTCAATTTAGTAATCACTGCTCTGGAAATATGGTAGGCATTTTTGTGGGCATGAGAAGATGCCACCTTCCTTTTATAGGTGATGTAGAAAGAAAGACTGAGTTTTCTGCTTGACTCTTTACCTAAAGCCTTCCCTGTACATTAAACTTCTGTAGTTTGGTCTTTTCCACTTACCCAAACTGGCTTCCATTTGTTCTTAATTTGCCTTATGTCTTAAATATCAGTGACTGGTTAATTAAAGATCAGATGAGCTGGGTATTCTCAGCTGCTGCAGGTCAGTGATCTATTTAATATGCTTTTACACTGGAGAATACTTAGCTATCAAAACCAAGTGCCCTATTTTATTAATCTTGTATTATGAGAGGGTTTTGTTCTCCGAGTTGAGTATATTTGCTGTTTCTTCTTAATTATCTAGATTATTCCAATTTATGCCACTCTCTTCAGATATGAGTGGCACACATCCAGGGTGTGAATCTGCTTGAGCTGGAGCTGTGCATAAGCCTTTACTGTAAGAATGTTTTTATCTGTTGATATTTTGATTTGGATGCATTTGTGTAATCTTGCTAATTTCTTTGTTGCTGTTCTGTCTTCCTGCCCAGTTCTCACTGTTCTTTTGCTGTGAGGAAACAATTTGCAACATACTAGCAAAGTGTGCCCTTTACATGCAGAATGTCAATCTAGTCTTTCCACTAGTGATTGCTAGCTGAAAGGAACCTAAGAGAGCAGGAGAATTGGTGGTAATGCACGTAGATGTTTCTGCATTCTCTTTTGTTTCACTCAAAAAACTCATGTATAAAATCATTACCTAACTTAAGAAGTTGTAGTTAAAAAGATGTTAGCATAGGGATTAACCTCATGCATGCCTCCCTGTCAGCATACGTGCTGTTAGACAATCATAATTATATGGTTGTTTCTCCTTTTTTACAGATTGGTTTCTATTTTTGATTCAAAACAAAACTGTGCAATGTATACCCTGTAGACTGTGTACTTTTAGCTTATTTGTTGTGGAAGTTGAAAGGGACAAGAGAAATGAGCTGTAACAGCAAAATGAGAGAGCAGACTGGGTTTTTCTGCTCTTTGAAGGTCAGGAGTGATAAAAGTCAAATTGCTTACACCAAACTTTCATAGAAAACTTTCATGGGCAAATATGTTCTCTGTTTTCTATGTGCTTGGCAGGACAGACTCAGAAGTGATTGGTAGTCATGCTGAGCAGGTGCAGCTGCCATTTAGGCAACTGATAGCTGTTCTTTGCCTATACCATGTTCTGTGTAATGTTAATGAGCTGAAATCATATCCCACATCTGGAGTTGAGCACCCAAAATTAGCAGACATTTTCTCTCTGGCTCAGTTAGTTGTCTGTAAAATAATTTCTTCTCTCCTTACAGGACTGCTGTGAGAATAACTTATTAGTGTATGTCAATTAGATGCTCTAGTAGCAAAGAAGAGCTACAAAAACCACTGAGGAAATTAATAGCTCTGTCTTTGTTGTGGATCCTCATTAGCATATAACAAATGATCCATGGGATCAGGCAGTTCTATTTTAAAGCAGTGTGTATAGGCCTATAGAGAGCTTTACTCCATTTTGCTAGGCAATAGCCACAAAAATTGTTCTGGAAAATCTTACTGTCAGTTCAAGAGATGCTGCTTCTTTGTGCTGTACACCTCTGCTAGAGACTTTTGTTTTCATGTGAGGGAGAGTAGAAGCAAAATCAGACTGGTCCCTTTGCTGCTGCAGTGAATGATATGGCATCTTAATTTATACTGATCTTAATTTCATTTTTAACATTATTTGTAAAATGCAGTTGTTGAGAAACTACCAGGAACTTAATCCTTTGCCTTCAGTTGTGTATCAAATAATGCTCTTCAAGGGGCAGGATGGGGTGTGCTACCCCTGAATTGCCTCAGCAGAACCTGGTTGACTTCATCAGGCAGAGCCTGTAGATACAGCTACCTCCCCATCAAATTCTATTGATTCTGTTGTGTCTAAGAGCTTCTGAATAGTGGCTGATGTGAATTTATACATCCATGCATGCTTCCTCTAGAAAGCTGCAAAACATTATTAAACTGTTGAGGGAAATTCTATTTTCCAGGGATTTAATTTACACAGCAGTTTTTTATCTCAAAGGAATTGTGTTTATTCTAAGCTTGAGCAAATCCTGAAATCAAAAACAGAACAAAATTGTTGGCAAATTGCTAATGGGCGATATGGAGATTGTTATGCCTTTTTTCTCTTCTTAATTGGAGTCTGATAGCCACCTGTTTGACATGATCTCTCTGGAAACAAATGCTAATAATGTCAGTTTAAGCCTGGTAGAACCAATTTCAGCAACCCAACCTCTCACTGAACTAAACTTGAATGTAGTTTAAAAGAGAAGACAGCTAGCCTGTAGGAATTAGAAAATTATGATAGTTTTTATTTTCTACAATTTACTTGAAAACATTTATTCACGGATTATAGTTAAAATGCAAACAAATTATTAATTATTAATTCTGTAAAGAGCATGAACTTTATCAAATACTGAAAGACTAAGATTGGCAGAATGAGGATTTGCTTTAGTGCTGTGCCTTCTTCATTATATGAAACATCAGGAAATAGATCTGTTGGTAAAATAATAATTCAGTGTTGTCAGGAATGGAAAAGAGCCTCTTGCAGGAGTAGAACAGGTTCTGGCCAGTGTCTCTTGTCCGCTGCTATTGCACGTAACAGGCTCATATGGATCCTGCATTTTTTCAGTTAACTCAATTTTTTTCTTGGAATACTCTGTGGAAAGACTCTTCAATACCTCACTGCTTTGCCTATTAAAAGAAGCACAAACAGTGGTTCTGCTGTATTAGACTGTAGCAAAGCTTGGATGCCAGCCCAAATACCTTTCTATTAAGAAGAGTTAAGAAGGAAAATATGCAGTATGTGAAATCCTTAGGGTTAATGCACACCTGTTTGAACAGCAGCATTTGCAGAAAAGTTTTTGAGTATGCCATCAGGCTGGAAAAGCATTTCAAGTGAAGACCCACAAAAATCTCACCTAGGCCTAGTTCTGCTCAGTATTTTCATTCTTGGCTTGGATGATGAAATAGAAGGTGAGCTGCTGAAATGGTGAGATAATCTCATATTAGGAGAGCTTGCAATATTATTTTTTGGAGTAGAGGAGAAGCATTCAGTGATCTTGATTACCTACTGCAAAGAGCTCAAGATCAACAGGGTGAACTTCAGTAAAAACAAAAGTAATGTGCCACATACAAAAAGCATGGCCAAATTATAAATACAGGAGGGAAAGCAACTAGCAAAACTGCTGGGATTTTTAGAGGATCATAGTATGGACTTGACAGTGGGTAAAAAAAAACTCAGCTCAATGCTATTCTGGTATATAATATGTAACATCCATTAATTATTGGCTAACTCAGAAACATTGTCGAACTGTGTTATTTCAGTGGCTGAGACCAAACCTAAGGGGTAAATACTTGACTGGGTGTTCACTCTTGATGTGGGACTGGGAAGCTTATTTCACAATGAACTGTAAGAAAAAAGCATAAGAAAGAAAACATAAATGTCCTATGGACTAGCTGCTAATGGGAGATTTGAGAAGAGGATGAGTCCTGTGCATGCAGGGGTAGAGTTAAAAAAACAGCACTGTTGGCAGAGGAAAGAGTCCTTGAGAGTATTAATTGAAAGAACATTTCTCTCTGAAGGCATGTAGGCATGTCCATCTAAATTCTTGTCAAAGAAGGGTAAAGCTGAGAGTGTCATCAGTCTGTATGTATATTGCTTTCTGAAATTAGTTTCTGTAAATGTTTTCTCGTAAGTATATAACTGGACAGAGTCATAAGCATTCAGAAAAAAAGAGCTTTAAATTAATGCAAGTACATTCCATTGCTGTGGAAGATGCTGCTGTCTAGGATGAGCTCTAGAAACAGGAGTTTGTAGAGTTCCATGTCAGGAGGGGCAATTAAGCAAATATGATATTTATGATGCATTATTGTCATGGTTTGACACTGGCAGATTTTCTCCAGGCGGTGCCATGTGTGACATGGAAACACAAGAGGTGCCAGCTGTGTTTCTTGGGGGGTCTATGGCACAGGAGAGACTCCTCTCTCCCTTGATGGACTGAGTATTGATTATCTGAAGGGTGGGAACCTGATTGGGGGTCCAAGTTGTGTCTCACTGTGATGTGTTGGAATTGGGGGGGGGGGGGGGGGGGGGGAATGTTTCGGAAGGTTTTAATTTTGGATTTAGTGTGTGGTTTTCTTTCTTTTTATAGTAGTAGTGGTTTAATAAAGTTTTTCCATTGTTATTAAGCTTGGGCCTGCTCTGCTCTGTTCCTGGCTGCATCTCACAGCATTTATTTGGGAGGTTGCATTTTCATGGGGGCACTGGCATTCTGCCATGACAATTATGATGAATTGGATGTTTAAACAAGAAATGAAAAGCGAGTACTGTATGATGAGGTGCTTTATAAAGAGTCTTTTTAGAAAGAAACCTTTGTTAATGTTGACAGGTTGTGCCCACAGCCCACCCTGGACACGACTCTTTTCTATTCTCTGCCAATTGTTTGGGCAGGAAGGAATGTCAGTAACTTCAAAATGACTAGTTGGACAGATCTGGATGGATACACATAAATTACTCTGTCCTTAATGTATGCAATTACAAGCAGAAATAAATCAGGTAGAGGTTTTTTTGTTTGCTTGTTTTGTTTTGTTTTGGGTCTTTCCTAAATATAAAACAAATATCCTTCAGAATTTTGAGAAGTGCATCTTTGGAGAATAAATATATGTCAGTGATTGTGTGCAGGATTTAAGATTATACTTTCCCTTGTGATTTTAAGCCCATCACTTATTAACTGCAACTTGGTTTTGCTGGTGGAAAATGTAATGAAAAACATGATGGTGATAATAATTTCCTGTTAAGAATTTTGTTTCTCCCCTCTTGTGGCAGGTACTATGATGGTAGAACTCCAGGAGAGGGTAACTGAACTGGAAAACTGGAAGGATGGCAAAGGTCTTATAATCCATGGTGCTGGAAACACTTTTTGCTCAGGATCTGATTTGAATGTTGTCAAAGAAATATCCAATTCCCAGGCAAGTATTAATACACATTAAGGTTTTGGAGAAAAATTAATTTTTTGAGATTCTTTTTAGACAGAGGTGTTGTAGTACACTTCTACTGCAATTTTATATACAAGTCACAGAATGGAGCTTTAATGGTCAAAAAAAAAAAAAAAATGCTGTCAGCCCCTTCAAGCCATGATTTAAGTGTTATTGTAAGTGATTCATAACTCTAAATTCCTACACTATATGTTCTTTTTAGCCTTTTCTTTTAAAAATGTCATTTCAGTTTCTCACAGCAGTATATGATGAATTTGCACATCAGATATACTGTGCGTCTGTAGTTTGACCTTTTGAAACAGATAAAAGTAATAATTTCTTATATTCTTAAGTAAAAAAAAGAAATCTAAGTAGAATGGCTGCTATTACAGAAAGGTTTCTGTTTTATCAAAACTGTGCTTGGACATGCATGAAATCGAAGAATAGATGCAATTCTTGTGCTGTACTTGAGTCATGTGAGTCTTGTGTGTATCTATGAAGTTGAAGAGGTTGATGGCAATTTTTTGCTCATGCTGCCCATTTGGACAACTTTCACATGTGCTACAGTTCTTTCCATGGATTAATATGTGGACTTGGCAATGTGTGAAATAGAGCTTTGCCAGCTACCGGGATAGAGGGTCTTCCTGTGCTGCTCTTAGACCGGGTTTGGAGTTGTGGCATGTGCCAATTCTGGTGCTTTTTTGTGACCACTGCAAGTTTCAGGATTTAGCCACGTAAATGAAACATTTACTTGGCCCTTCCAGTATGAATATCAAGAGAAAAACTGGTTAATCTGATATTTGTCTTTAGTGATGATTTTTTTTTTCTGTTGATGAAACTAAATATGATAAACCCCACAATGTCTTAGATTTTATTTCTGGCCTCATAAAATAGAAAGGACAGTTCTGTTTTCAAAGGGTATTGGATATTTTGTTTCCTTTTGGGAACATTGCAAGGGAGATGCTTTTCTTAATATAGAAATGGCCTGCTCTATAAATATAAATAGATTTGGAGGGTGTTTTCATCTGGATATTTTCTAAGAACTAGTAATTTAAAAAGTATAGATGTAGATGTGATTTTTTCTTAAACTGAGTTTTTTTAATTTTTATTTTCATCTGCAATTCTTAACTTCTTTGAGCATTATACCAACAGAAAAGGAGCTGAACCCAAGCAAGGTCAGTTATTTTCTTATTTGCAGTCTAGGCTTTCCTTCAGAGTTCTGCATTCAGTAAATCTCAGTGATTCTGCTTCCATACATTTTGTATTCTCTCTGTATGCTTATACAAATTACTTGGAGCCACTGCAGTGGCAGAGAGGGCTCTTGCAAGGACTAGGTTCGATAACAGATATACTGGACAGAATGAAAAGTATACATGCTATAACTTTGTTGAGAATTCTCTGCACATAATCTAGATCTCTTGCTAGTATTGAAATTAAAGATAAAGAGTCACCAGAAATGCTCCAAGAAAGTTAAACATAGCTGCTTTTCTATTTCCTTTGGAGAGTTCAAGCTATTTATCTTTTACTGAGAGTTTCTTTATAATAGCTTCTAAAGCATCTGTTTGGTGGGATTTACCAGTCTTTATTAAATAAAGCTTTACTAGAATATGGAATAGCATTTGCTGTTCTTCAGTCTTACAGAACTCTCTAACTTGATGCAGATGAGAGTGTTTAATCTAGTTTCAGGTTAAGTTTTCTGTCCACAGACATCTTCAAGGCAAAAACAAAACAAAACAAAACAAAAAAACCCCAAAAAACCAAAACATGAATAGCTTCATGCCTGAATTGATATGTCTTTCACAGTATCACAGAATATTCTTGAGTTGGAAGGGACCCACAGGGATGATTGATTCCAACTTTTGAATGAACAGATTGGACCCACAACCTGTCGTTAAATGCACCATGCTCAAACAACTGAGCTGTCCTTTATATATTTTTTTCAAGGCTGCTTTCGCCCATAGCTTTTAGTAATTGCAGAAAACACTTTCATTTTATCCAACCGTTTGGTTGAGGGAGACCTGTATTTTTCATAATTTCGGTACAGTTTGCTTTTCCCTATGGTGCAGAATCGGCAGAATAATGGCCAAGAATGTTGAAAGATTTTCGTGCCCCCTAGTGGCTCTTTGTCCTCATCTTCCACTTCATTCTTTTCCTCTTTGTCCACCTTCTCCCATGTTCAGTTGTTCCTAACTCTGAAGCAAACCTAGGTCCCCTGCCTGTTTTTCTTTTTTGAGTGCTAACATTACATAACCAAATTATGGAAGGTAAATGAATAGTGGAATTTAAATGAAAAATATTTTTCCTTCTGTCTTTATAAGGCTTTGTAAACTGTTCCCAGAGCAAGAACCTCATTCTGGAGTGAGACTTGAAAAGTTGTCTAGCTGAAAAGAAAGAATAGCTCTTAAAGCAATAGCCCAGAGGAAGAAGCACAAAGGAGAATTTTGCTTTCCTTGGTCCCTGTCTAAAAGCCCTAGGACAGAGGTTCCCAAACATAAGCTGTGGAGGAGGACTGTAGAGCAGTTGGAGATAATATGGAAATTATGTTCTATCTGTAGTGCAAATGGATTTGAAGCTCTTGCAGCAATAAGAGCCAGCATTACAGTTTTCTACTTTATGAAAGTGACTTTCTACTTCCCTGTGTCTCTGAGGCCCACACCAAGCTATCAATGCTTTTCTTCCATATGTAGTGCATTTTACTGCATTTTACCTCCCTTTCTGCTAGTTAGATATCTTCTTATTTCAAGGACAGTATTAGAGCTGCAAATATAATTATTCTACTAGACTGAAGCGAACACCTCTTAGAGTATTTTATCTGAATAGTAGCCTTATTTTTCTTGTCAGGAAGGTTTGAAGGGTTTATTTGCCAGGACTCAAACAATTGCCTTTTTTTTTTTTTTTTTTCCTGTGCAAGAATTTTCTTCCATGGGATACACAGTACTCTCTCTACCACCTGAGAGAATGAAGACTTTATTTTTGTCTGCTCAGACATAAATGCATTTTCCAAGTTTGTCTGTTCTGGAATTAATCTTTAATTACTATTTATGATTTTGCCATGAGTTGAGAAGGCCCGTTTAAATGCAAGGATTCTGCTGTGATGAAGTGAAAAATCATGTTCTCTAACGAGCTGTTGTGCAGCTTCATCCTGACAGTTGTAATATGGGAATTGTGCAAGTCTGTGTCTGAGAACTGGTACCTTGCATGTTTGTGTGGGCTTTGAACTGAGCTACTGAGGCAGCTATCACAAAAGGTTTGAATGTTCTTTAATTTGGAATGGAAGTATTTCTACTGTTCTTAGGGGGTGTAGGAGATGGCTACAGTGATAATTAAAGCCTTTTTATAACTCAACAGGTGCTAAATTTTTCAAGCAGCCCATTATAGTAGTGAAACTAAATACACTGCTTCTTGTGTAGGAATTGTCATGGCACTCACATCTGCCAGAGATCTGAGCCTAAACATCATAATGGTGGTTGGCTTTGAGCAGAGTAGCTCTTGGGAATACACAATGAAATGGACAATAAATCACCTGAAACTGGCTTACTGTTATTTCAAGGTTCTATTCCAAAGATGTACTGAAGACTTACTGCATACCTCTTTCCCCGAGGTATGAGTCAGAGGCTTTTAATTCAGGCAGATTCTCTAAATTGCCAGCTTCTGTAAAACTGTTTTAGAAATTAGAAAATTCTGGTAAAGAGATGTTTGGTTTGGTTTGTTTGGATTGAAAGATGTGCTGAAATTTTTACCTACTCATTTTTTATTTCTGCGGTGTCCAAGCATAATTTTTTATCTGGGATAAATAATGCATGTTCAATTCAGTATGTATATGAATATGGTGGTTCTGGATCATTTAGCCCAGTTATTTTTCAAGTTCCTGATTAATTCTACATGTCTGAGAAAGAGGATAACAACGGGGAAGGCAGATAGATAATGATTTTGTCTCAAAATATTTTCTTAGCTCCCAGCAACTTGTGACTAAGACTTCTAGAGCTAGAGGTGTTGTCTTCTTTGTAATAACCTTTTGTTGCTGTTGTGAGTTATGTATGTATTGTGAGTTTATGTAGTTGTTCTTGAATTTGTGTAGAACACTGCCAAGTGTTCCACATTGTAAGTAAATGTTGTAGGAAGAAATATTTGTTTTGAACATATTTTATTTGGAACCCTATAGTTCTTGTACTGTATTAGAAGTAAACAATTTTAATTTTTTCACTGTTGATTGCAAGGAGATGTAAAACACAAAGGATGAGAGACATAAGAAGAATCTTCTTTCTGGTTTTTTTTTTTTATCTGTTTTGATGTTTTGTGGTTTGGTGGGGTTTTTTTGTTGGGTTTTTTTTTTTAGCTGAGATGCTTTTGGCGCAAACAATAAAAGATTTAATTGGTAAATTGTATCTTGTCTAAAACTTGATGGATTTGGGAAATTAAAAAGTATGTAGCACACTATGGCTTTGTACAGAATTTAAAAGCTCAGATTTATGTGTCTTCAACTTGAAGTGAGAAGAAAAAATTAAGAGGAAACACTAAAATTTCACAGCATAGAGATTCAGTATTGCAATTGCTTTTTAACTGAAATTTATATAAGTTAGTTGAGTTCTGATTTTTTTTTTAACCTGATTTATACTAGGTTTTCTATTTGTACATAGTGGGGTTGGGCTAGAATTTGGGCAACATGAACCAGAGACAAAACCCTGCTGAAGTAAATATAAAGAATGCTTACTCCTGTTTACTTCGTCTATGTGTTTAATTGCTTCACATTGAGATCACATAACAATTTTTAATTTCCTATTCATTGTAGGATGGGATGAATATGTGTATGTTTATGCAAAACACCTTAACCAGACTTATGAGGTAATATATTTTATTTACCCATTTATGAAGTAATTCTAAGTATCACAATGTATTTTGGCTAACTCTTTAATGAGATCTTTAAAGATAAACATGTACTTTTATGTATGTAATTTTGAATCCCAGACCTTGTATTCACACATGTTAATCAGGTAGGTATTTATGGATTTAAATTAGACCGTAACATTTTGCAACCATTACATTTTCCAGAGATTGGAACAGGAAAAAAAAAAAAAAACCCAAAACAAACAAACAAAAAAACCCCTAGCCTTATATGTGTAGAGGTAGGAGATACCCAGAATTAAGGAAATCTAGGCCTTCAGATTTTCTGAAACTCAGCCTCTCTAACTCATTAGGAATTGGTAGTTCTTAAATAATAAGCAGACACAGGTCATGCAGCCTACATAGGTAATATATATTTGGCATATTTATTTAATCTTCCCACTTCACAAGAGGAGTGTGTCAGTTCTACCATCTGGTAATTCTGAAAAAAACCCTTTCCTTTAGACTTAGCTTCCCTTAAGAAGTCACGTTTCAATTAAATCCATTTGTGGTAGAGTCTTGTTTTTCTGCTTAGAGCTCTTTGAAGATGAATATTCTTTGTTTTCAGGTAATCTATATGAGAAAATGTTATGAATTAACATTATTTCTGTAAAAGTACCAAGGAGATTGGAAACTTACATTAATAGTACTGTAAGGAATCCTCAGGATTGGAAGACATTTGTGTAAGCTTGTCTCCATATAATTGAAATTGATAGGGCAAAGCTAAGAGGAGGAAGATGTGTGAAGATTAAGTCCCCACCTGAGGTGTGTAGACTTAGTGTATCTTTAAGCTGTAGTTCAGGGAGAGCACTGAGCTGCTGTCTGGGGACATCTGTTGTAGATGGGATTAGTCTCCTTCAGAGCTGAGGCTGACTGTGATCCTGAGAGTGGTGCCTCAAATGGATTAGAGTGTGGATGTAGCCATCTTGGACCCACATCTTCTGCTTTCTCATAAAGCACAGGAAAGATGAGATTGCCCTCTTCCAATGGGTTCCCTTGTGTCATGTATTGTATGAACTGTGCTGTAGCTTGTAAGTGAACTTGGGCTGTAAGAAAGTGTTGGTGCTTCTGTTAAAGGAGAGCTAAAACCAGATGTGGTTATGATTAGGATGCTGACTTCTGAATGTGGTTTGTAAACTGCTCAAAAAGCTAAATGTCTTTTCATAGTAAATGATGAAACAGCTGTATTAGTGTGCAAATTCTGTGACTAATCAGCTGCCTTAATTTCTTAAGGAACTTGCCTTATCCTAAGTCACTGTTCATTAGTATTCATTTCACATCAGCAGTGGGGAAACATATTCTTCCTTCCCTCTGTCCTTTGTTGCCTTGAACATGATTAAATACCTTGAACATGATTAAATACAACACCAACAAAGGTAACAGATTGCTGCTTTCCTCAAAAGATTTTGTCTGCAAAAAAAGTTTTGTTGATAACTGAGATAGTAGCACTCTGTTTGAAGAAGCTGCTGAAGCTGTCATGGTAAATCTCATTAATTTTAGATAACCCAGCCCTTCAGTTCTTTGTGTCTCTCTCTGCTGCTTTCTGTGGTGCACTGGCTTAGAGCAGAATCTTGTGATGCTATCTTGTCACTCCTTGCAGGCAGTTTTTTAAGGTATATTCTATAGCAGGTATTTTTTGTAACATGTGTTTTTCAGTACATGATCTTTATTTTGATTCCATTTAAAATATCTGTGTTGCTGTTTCATTTTGGGATTCTGTCTCAATTATGCAATAGTAATTTTGACATAAGTGGAATTGGTGTTGTGCTGATTGCCCACAAAGATGTAGTTATTTTATTAAATTGGAACAGTATATTTTTCTCAACTTCTACTGTAGAAATGGTTTGGTTGAATTGTTTTGTAATTTCTGAAAGGCTAAAAGCATGAATTTTGCTTACTAAAGTCTCTTGTGCAGGTTGCCTTTGATCAGTGTTGCACTAGTTCAAGGAAAAGCTTTTGGAGGAGGAGCAGAACTTACTACAGCATGTGATTTCAGGTAAGGCTAACAAGTTGTGTAGTATTGTGTTGGGTCAGTGATTTACTGATTGTCCAACTGAAATATGAGAAGTGGGAGGTACCACTTCTACCAGGAGTAATGATCCTGGGCTCCAAGGCATTTGCAATGAGATTTTGTCATCAGACTTCACAGGAAAAGAAAAGCTGTTGTTTCTGCAAAGTTATGTGGTTTGGACCACAGTGTAAAACAATAGTAGTAAGGAACTTTAGCAACTGACTGTGTTACACACCCAGTAGGTCCAACTCACCCTTGAGTGAGAGGTAGGAAGGTTGCAAAATTGTGTATCTCCCTGTGTCTCTTTTTGTGAATGTCATAAATAAAAATAAATAAATCTCTTCACTATTCATGTATTTCTTGTTTTGTGTTTATTATTTGTAATATAATTTTGTGCTGCTAAGCTATTGAAACAAGAATTTGAAGTGCAGAGGAAAAGAAATGAGGTTTCATCCCTGTTTTTTTTTCGATGCAGGTGCAGGGATTTGCTAGCACAAAACAACTGGCAAAAAAAAGAGGGCTATAATTAAACAGGCAGAATAGGAATGGGAATACATTAAAGTAATAAAATGTCACTTTATATAAACCATTGCTAATGTGCAAACAGCCTACAGATGTAGCAGGATAAGCACAGTGAACAGCATCTCTGAAAATGAGGAGCTTTTAGTGAAGTTTTCATCTAAGAAAAGGAAATGTGCTCTTGAAAAGGGCCTTAGTGCCTGAGCTGGGAAAGGAAATGCCCTGAAGAAGCTGAAAGAAGGTACACTCAAAAGTAAACTAAACTAGAATATTACAGTGCTTTTCCAGGTATCAGGAACAGACTTTGAATAGAGGAGATAATATCTGCATTGTATGAGCCACTTGGAAGCAATCTTCCTTTGCTTTGAAAGTAGATGTGGCTGGATCTTTCTTCATATCTGCTCAGCACACAGTGAGCTGAAGCCCCAGCTGTGATGTGAGTCCAGGCTGTGTTACAAATAGCAGAGGGGCTTCATGTTTGACAGCTGCAGTGTTGGCAGGAGAATGCACCTGGGAGACTCAGCAGACCTTTCTGTATCTGTGAGCCTGTCAACAGGAAGTGTTTCTTGTTATATCTAAATAAGCATTTAAGGAGTGGGAATATAATGAAATGGAAATCTTTTGGCTTTCTAAAATATGTAGTCTCTACTTACACTCCAGCTATGCTGTTTTGACATGCTGTGTAATTATAGGCCTTATCAAGTAGCTTTTATTTGCATGAATTGAGCAGCTGCAATTCCTCTCATGCAGTGCCATAATTTTCATAATAACTACACCTGTTGATCCATCTTCCATTACTTTCTACACACCCATCCAGTGCAACTAAATAACAGCGATTCAGGAGCAGCAAATGGGACTTAATTAATAACAGCAACAAGACAGAGAAACATACTCTGTGCTGTTATTGCTGTTGAATTTGAGAAATTTAATACTGGTGGGCAAAATTCCAGGGTTTTTTTGAGGACTGTAAATAGATATTAGTGGAATAGGTATTCTGTCCTCAGTCACTAGATGAAAAAGAGGAACATGAGATAGAAATCAGAGCTTTGTTTTCTTATTTGAATAAACTGTTTGGACATTTTATTTTTCAAAAACAAAATGGGTTTGTTGTTTTTGCTTTTAATTCTAGATTTTCAAATGCAGTTCTGTTTTTCACAGTCTCTGTTTAAACTACTAAACTGCTTTGTTTTGGCCTGAAATATTTTCTTATTTTTATCTCTGCTACTTTGTACTACATTAACTATATTGATATAGTTTGAACAACTCACTTGAACCAAAATGACCAAGATACCTCCTCTGAAATGTGGTCTGGCAGCATGATACACATCTCTACTAAAGTAGAGATGTGGACAAATCCAATTTTAAAATAGCTGAGGTGGTTTAAGGATATTACTGATGCATTCGTCTTGTAGCGGTTCTTGTGGCTAATTGTCTCACTCTGTTTTAAGCTGGCTCATTTTAAATTGGATTGGGGAGGGGGGCTTGTGTAAACTTCGGCACAGTTATTGCTTAAATAAGGACAATGATAAAAAGTGAAAGCATTTTAGGTTAGTCCACATTTAATCTGGAGGAAGAGGTCTTCTCAAAACATCTTCAGTCTTAGCTGTTTTATGTGTTTTGTTGCAGTATGGCTCTCCAGAGAAGCAGTATCCTTATAAAGACCATAAACATGTTACTAGGGGGAAAAAAAAAAAAAAATCAAACCAGTCCAGACGAGGGCAAGGTAATTAATTTCCTTTCAGACTTTTTCTGATATGAAAATTGGAAAGATAAAGCTTCTGACACTAGAATTATTTATCTCAATTATTACTGCAAAACTGGGTAATGTAGACAGTTACAAGTATGAAACTTGCTCAGACAGCTGAGTATTTTAGTAATATTTTCAAAAAAACCTGCCTTTTCTAAGTATACCAGAGTTGAGCACATGAAGGTGGCTCATGTTTTCTGCTGCCAAATGTTAATTTATTTTACAGCTCTGCATGACACTGCAGCCATTTCAATGAGGTGCAGAAGTGCATGTGATGTTTGATTTAGTGGTGGAATTTTACAAATAGAGGGGCCTGCTTTGGGTTCCTTTATGCAGAAATTTGATGTGTGTTATGTGCTTACACAATGTGTGAAGGTAAGGAGAGCAGATTTGGCAGGATTAGTTGAGGACTTTGGACAGGAAAACAGGAATGGTAGTGGATTGTTGGCAATAAGCTGGCAGATACGGGGAAGAGACAGTTGGTAGTGAATTTATTGCAATTAGCAGATCACAATAATCTCTGAGTGCAGTTGCTGCAATGCACTACCAAGTAATAGCCAGAATAACTAACTTTGAATTCTGAGCTGTCTTGTTTTCTATTTCATGTTGGTGCCTTTGAGAAATCTTGCTGGGGCAATGTCTGTGTATGTCTTTTACACATATCTACGACTTTAAAAATTTGGTCCAACATCACCTGGCAAATGGACTTCCATTGTATCTGAGTGCTACTGAGACACAGAGTCTCTTTCCCCCTATCTCCTTTTTCCTCTGTAATGCTGCTGCAGTCCAAGTAGAGGTGTGTCTGTATCCCTGTCGTGTCAATCAAATTTAAAAGTTGGTGTCTTGAGGCAGAGGGTGAGAGTGCAGAGATGGAAAATCTCATATGATTGATCTCAGAATGGGCTCATAGGTAGAGACAGCAGTGATTTCCTTTTCTTCTTTAGAAAATAAAATAAATTTCTTCAGCTGTAGTTGATGTTGCACAGTTAAATTGCAAAGGGCCAGTTTCATTACTGTTGTAAGTGCTGAGCTAACTATTAGCTTATGCTAATAATACTGCATTTATCAAATTGGCCTTCTTTCGTTTTAGCGGTGTGTTTTCTATATTTCTGTGAAATATGTAGGCATGCTTAGTATTACATGCTAAGGTTAAATATGTTCCATGAAACACTTAGTAAGAGATACAATGAAATCAAATGTTTTTAAACAGCTTTTGATGCGTGTGTGTTCCTGTGATAATTTATGCTTATTTGATTCTACAAGTTGTATTTAGTGCATTAAATGCAACATACAGGAAGTCAGAGCAACAGAAGATAATCTAGTCTCTGCATAGATGTAGCTACACTATGACCAACTTTTCAATTGTTTCAGCTTTCAAAAAGGAGAAGTGGAAGAAACTGTAAAGACTTTAGTATTCAGCAGCAAACTTTTTCAAAAACAGGTTTTAGAACATCAGAGCACAGCACATGAGCTTCTTGGGAAATCTTTTGCTCTATACAAGGATTTGGACTTTTAATTTTATCAGGAGGAATATTTAGGTGCACAAGATGCTACTATTTGTAATACGGGTGCCTCAGGACATAGTAACGTTTTTCATTGAGTACAGCCTGATATGAATGTAGCAACATGGCATTCACATATTCATGAATTCTTGCAGAGTCCAAGCTCACAAAGCACTTTTCACTCATGTGACTGTAACATTGCTACACATCATCAGAGAAAAATCAGTAGCCAAATCTGAGAGTGAGTTCTCTGTAGAAGCCTAAAAAATAAGGGATGAAAATGTGTATGTATCAAAAACTGATAGCTGGATAGCCATAGAGCCAACCAAGGATTGTTGGTAATAACACACTGACAGAGAGCAGGACGTGGGTGGAGAAGGGGTCCATATGGAGGTAGAGCAGCACTTTTCTGGGACAGATGTCCTTGTTCTGGCACATCAGAATAAGCACAACACAGTACAAGGCAACTGCAGGAATGAGGCTGAGAAATGGACATGCACTGTAGTGGAGGATTTAGACCATCAAAGACCCTTGAAGCCTCCAACCTATTTCCAGAAAGATCTAGAAGAAAGAACTGTGCACGATAACTAATTTGCACAGCAAGTGAGAAGCTTGCCTCCAGAACAGGGTAGACATGTCTATAAAAATGTATCCCCACAAAGCCTGGGCATGTGTGCACTCCAGGACCCGGGATACTCCAGCTGGATCAATGCTGGGGCTAGAACAGGTGATCTCTCTAATTTTCTTTCTTCCTTTCTTTCTCACATTCCATTTTATATCTATCTCTCTTCCTTTTCACCCTCCCCTTATCCAAAACCCACTGCTGTGTGCTTATGTTGGGAGGTCAGGGACCCAAATAACAATGTCCATGCCAAGTGTGTAGATTGTTAATAAAACTCTATAAGCTTTTGCAGAAATCTGACTTTTGCCATTCCTTTCAACCATGAGTGTCTATGAATCTTGGGTTTTCCCATCTCCTTAAGGGTGGGACACTATATTTTCACAGCTTCAAGTGCTTGCTATGTGGCATAGATAATTTTTCTGAACTATATGGAATTTTGGTCTTTTATATATATGTGTGTGTGCATGTGTATTTAAAATCTCCTGCAAATCAGTTGGCAATTTTAGAATTCCAATGCAGTCCTACATCACTTTACATTTTTAGAGCCCTGGGGGCTTTGTTACTACAAGTTTCTGGTTATGATTTTAAAAGTCTC